CAACCTGCACCAGAGTACAGGTTGCTGTCCTCTGAAGATGCCGGCCACAGAGACTGGCGAAACATCAGGAAGAACAACCTTCAGAACACAGCCAAAGAGCCCGAAAAACCCAGAACAACCAATCTCTCTGCAATATTAATGTACTTCTAATTATGGACCATCTCTAATGTGTGTTACTATTCATATATAAATTGATGTAGTTTGTGAAGATTATAGCTCTACAGATTTCCAGTAACATTCCATTTGCTAAGTTGCCTTCCTTAGGTGCCAATTCCCATTGAACCCATCACTTAACCCTTCTCCCATCCCAGAAACGATAACTCCTCCTTGTGTTGACATCTTAAAGACTATTTATTTTTTAATGTGAGCTTTCATGGACAAGTCCATTTCATCAGACATAAGATATATTGTATATTTATATTTGTAAATTTACTGATGTATCTATCTTATATAATCTTTTGTGCTCTCTTTGTATTATAGGCCTTTGTACAGTAGCATATGCTTCTTAGTTTTTTGTTATTGTGCTATATCACTGTGGTCCCCTGCCCCCCTTGGGTTTCTGATTGCAAGATCAATGGCATTTCTCTTTCTCCTGCAGTGGGGTGCTGAGCTAGTCAGCTTGGCACAGGAAGAGAAGCTAACCCCACCTGCTGTCGCCACATGCTCGTCTTCACAAACTTGAAAATTAAGCTAATGCAGTCCAGGGAAAGTGTCTATTCAACAGATCGAAGTCTAAACTCTTGCTGTGAATGGGAAGCACACTATAGATAGACAGCGCCTGAACATTCAGTTTTTGTGTCCAATAAAAAGAACACGTGGAAACTGTGGGTCCAGCTTTGCCCCAAAGTGGGACTAGAAGCAGATTGTGTGTGATGCAATCAGTCTGGAATTGCATCCTGAGCCCCATTATGCATGTCTGTCCACACCAGAAGCAAGAGATAAGGCACACATAGTTGGACTGAACTAGGACAACAACTTTGTTAATTTTTACCTGCAGTAGAATTGAGCTGCAGAGTGGGCAAGTTGTGGGGTGGAGGGAAGAGCCATCTGAAACCTCTCTCTCACCCAGAGTCCAAAAAACAGCTCCTTCTTTTAAAATGGATCAGACATTGGTTTTTATGCACTATCTACTTCCGGACAGATACAACACTAGAGAGCCCAAAAACACTAAAGATCCCGAAAAACCCACAACAGCCAAATACAACACTGTTTGTGAAAGAAGATCCATTTCTTTTGATATGGCTTGTTGTTATTTTTCTGGTATTTTAACATGACAAATCTTTGATCATGGATTTATCAGACAATTAAAGCAACTTAAAGAATATGAAAAGAAAAAGGATAGCAATCTCTTCAATGTGCTCCTCTTGTTTTATTGCAGCGGAAAGAGATATCAGTGTCTATTGTGGAGTCCAGGCAATTACAATGAAGATTAATTTTTGCACTGTGCTTTTTTCTGGTTATTCTGAAACGGATTTGGCATTAAATGGGAAACATGGAGATTCCCACTGTAGGGGCTTTATAAACAACAACACATTTCCGGCCGTGGTCATATTCATAATAAATCTCAGCACTTTGGAGGCCTGTGGAAACTCTTTAATGGTAAGACACATTTCTTTAGAGATCATTTCTGTATTTATTGTTGTAAAACAATTAACATGCTGTGAAACGGTACATGCTTTCTATTCAATTGTTTGATTTACAAATGTGAATGGCCTTAGTAGAAAAATAAAAAGTTCAGAAATATGAATGAATGTCCATAAATGGTAGCAATTCTGATCATGCTTGCTAGGATGTAAAGGGCAGAGGAAGAGACAGCTTCACAATTAGAAGCAGAACTATCTTCAGAAGTAAAGGATATTTTAATTACCCCAAATGAGCCTTCATAACTATATTAATTAGGCTGATTTTGTTCTAAGGTATCTGGAGGCAAATACAAGTCATTGAATGTTGACTGTGGAAGTGTAACAGCTTTTAGAAATATGCCTGCAGAAAGAATATTTTATCTTCTTTTAATTATGGAGCTGCCATCTTGTTTGTTTCTATCCTAAATCCAACTAAAAGAGAGAGGTGCTCTGAGGACACATGGGTCCACTACCATGTTTACTATTTTGTTTCATCATTGCTAAAGGTGAAGCTAGACATCATAACGATGTGTGGTTGGTGTTGAATTACCCCTGTGTTCCTTTTTTTCATATCATGTGATACAACATACCTAGCTTACACTTAGTTTCTCTTTTTATGAGGTACAGTATTCTATTATTATTGAAATTACAGGTGAGGAAATGGGAAATGAATCATTTGCCCTTCACACCCCAAATTTGAATACTTCCTTTCCACAATAACTTCAAATCAAATCAAGACATAAAACAAAATGTGTGTATTATTGCAGGTTTCTGAACTAAGTCCAATTTATACTGTTTTTCATCTGCATAAGATTTATCCACAAAATAAATTGATACATCAATAAATAATCTAAGTATATATATTCAGACATTTTTGGATGCTCCCAGGCTGTAATGGCTACTATTACACAAAACCCTTGTGGCCAATTGCTATGAAACCTGGCAGGTTTAATCCCCCTCAAAGCTATAAATTATCTCTAAATATTTCATCCAATTCTGCCCAGAGATCTTTAAATTGTGAAGCTGCCACTTGTATTTCAAACATGAAATGCATTGTATATATACATATACATGACATGTAACACTATGCACCTGTCCTGCATAATCTTGCTGCTATTCACCCCTCTGACTCTAAATCTCATCCAACTTGGAGAAGTAGGGGGAGGGGAGGAGTTAAAAGCCATTTGTTGATTTCCAAAGATAGCTACCTGTTATGTAGCTCAGTAGCTTGGAGTGCCTGACTGCATCCTGGGAGTTCAAATCTATACTGTGCCTCCTGGGAGAAGCATGAGCCAAGATTACCCAGACTATGTGTGGCTGATGGGGTTACTTGCTCTGCCATCTGTGCAGGATTGGGCAAGTTGCACAGTTCCATGAGTGTCAAGATTCAGATTCGGACTGAAGGGGGGGGGGAGGTGTTCACCTCTAAACTTGTCCCAGTGGAGGGTTTACTTCACAGTGGGGAAAATGTGCATGGGTCTGCTGTGAAGTTGTACCTGGGAAATGGGTTTCCCCAGGTGAATTTGCCTTAGCTATGCACACACAAAGTGAGGATGAAATTCGTAACCAGCCTCGTTTGAATCTTGCTAAAGTAGTTCTGCTGTGGTTATTCAGATTTGCTGGAGGCACAGTTACAGTAGAGCTACATGAACAATCTTCAGACAAGTTCTGACTGCCAGTTTGCTCCTTGCTCTCTGCTGACTCCTCGTTCTCCAACACCTTGGCCTCCTAGAGGTCCTAGCACAAAAGTACCAAGTCTTTAAAGAAAATTAGAACAGGAAGAGAAAAGGAAACAAACTGACTCTGGCATCTGGTTTCGGGAGGAGAGGGTTCAAATGGCAGCCGGTTTCCTGTCCTGTCTTACTCCTGCTGTAGCTGGGTGGAAAGGCTTGATATAATATGGCTACAAACCCATCTTAGAAGGATCAATCTGTATGCATCAGTACAAGCAATCACACTGCATGAACGGATGTGAATGCATTTGCTGCAGAAAAAAGAGAAGCCCAGTAATAGAGAAAAAAAACCCTATGAATTAGAAGGAAAAAAACACTGGGGCAGTTTGCACTGACTTGTACATCATGAAGTCAATGGAAAATAATATGCATCTGATTGTCCTGATTCCAGAGCATTTCCCATATTATTTGCCAATGTAGTTGCCCCTGACTTGGGTAGTTTTCTTAATTCCCTACTTAGGATCTGAACTGAATTCTATGGTCAGTGCATATAATACCACATATTCAAAACAGTATGGAGATATACCTATTTATAATATTTCATCTGGATATTCATTCATTGCAGAAAGAAAGATGTATTTATTTATTTATTGTATTTATATCCCGCCCATCTGATCAATTGACCACTCTGGGTGGCTAACAACACTTAAAATAAAACAATTTAAATATAACATCAATATATTGCATCAATAATTAATTGTTCAAAATGGAAAGGAAAAAGAAAAAAAACATAAATCAAATAGTGGCTGGAGGGAAAGGCTGCTTAAATAGCCAAGTTTTCAATTGGCTTTTGAAAATGCCTAGCAAAGGGGCCATACGAATCTCAGGAGGGAGTTTATTCCAAAGGTGAGGAGCCACTGCCGAGAAGGCCCAGTTTCTTGTTTTTTTCCTTCTGGGCCTTCCTCGACATTAGGCTCCTCAACCTCACCTGCTGGTTAGATCGAGTGATATAGGTAGGTGTTGGTGGGAGTAGCCGTTCCGCCAAATATCGAGGCCCTACACCGTTGAGGGCTTTGTATGTAACATTAATACTTTTGAAATCAATGCGGATTGTAGAGCTTTTCACCTCCTTTCAGCAACAGAACATATGCTGCATGTTGGAGAGTGCCATGGGAATCGGATGGGATGAGAGGAGTTGACAAATCAGATGGAAAAGTCTATGTAATCCCTAGGGCTGTAGAAGACATGTTTGCTGGGTTTTGAAGGGCACCCCAGAACCTCCTACCCACTCCATCTTACAATGACAATAAATTATATTGTTATTGTTATTGTTGTTATTGTTAAAGGGCCAAAAGATATTCTCCCTTTTTAATGTTGTTTTTCAAATTTAGTCCCTAAAGGGCCAAAAGATATTCCCCTTCCCTTTAATCCTTCCCAATTTTTGTGAGAAAAGTTTTTGAAGAGTGGCAGTCACCAGAGAAAGTTTGGTTTCCCAAGGTCCAGGGTTGGGCACATGTACCTCTGGACTTCTATGGTGGTCTTCCCTGGAGCATGGTTTGAACAATGGTGTGGATTGGGTAAAAAAATGAATTAGAGTCTGTGGTATGGCAGGTAATTCATACACAGGCTCATACATCCTGCTTACATTCTCTTTAAAGATTCACTTTCATGACAGATTTTGCCTTTCCATAATTTCTCTTATCTTCTCATAATATCTCTTACCAAATAGGTAACTTCGGTTCCAGGAGTGAATGCATATGGCAATGTATCATCAGTCCAGATAGGGAATGTATCAGGCTATATAGATACTCCAGATCCACCAACAATCATCAGCTATTTACCAGGACTTCTGTATAAATTTAGTTGCAGCTATCCTCTGGAATACCTAGTCAACAATACCCAACTGGCTTCGTGAGTATATCTCTGATGTTTATGTGTAAAAGCATGCACCAAAGTGTCCTTGTGTTCTATTTATTCTTCTGATGAAGCTTCTTGGGTCTTTCAAAGTGTGCTGAATGGCTACATCAGATCCCCATGCAAGCCAAACACATTAGTGCAGGATCTTTCCCCCTGCTTTTTATGTAAACACAGAAAATGTAATAACAGTGAGAAAAGATGGGAAGAAAAAACGGAAAATATACAGAAAGAGAGATTATTTGGAATGTTTACACATGTTTAGATGGCTACAGAATGAATTTAGCAGTGAGGTCTTCACTTTTGCGTTAGCTTTCATGAAGACACTTGGCTTCCACATTCCACCTAACAACAGACTAGTAATTATAAAGACAATTATAAAGACATAGTTGACTTGGATTGTTTTTGCACAACAGTATATTAGTATAAGTAACATAAGGCATTTTTTTAAAAATGGGTTCAAACCACACATCATGAAAAATTAATTTTTGTTTTTGTTTTGTCACTTCACTTAACTAATTATTTACTTGATCCATCGTTTTAGCAGTGCTCATTGCTTTAAGACACTCCCTAGCAATTTACAAACAAAAGTGAAGTGTTTACTCTTTCTGAAGCATTTACTCTTTCTGTTGCGACACAAAAAACTGGTTTAATAACAAGCAGCAGTGAAACAATTTTTTTCCCCAGTCAATAGTTTTTGCTCTCTTAAACTTTTCCAGGTCTTCAGCTGCTATATCTGTAAGAGAGAACAATGGTACATTTATTAGCACTCTGAATTTGCTCCTTTACAATGTAAGTATGATTTATTAGAAATTTCATGAATACAATACTTTTTCCTACTAAATAACATACTTAGATTGGCCTTACAATGCTACAAGTAGGCCCTGCAGCAGACTATTACAGAGATGAATACTTTTGGTTCAGGATTCTCACTACAGTGTGCCATTCTGCCTTCATATCTAGTTTTCCTCTGGTCTCCTTAAGAATATCAGTTAACTTTCCATGCCTGTCGAGCATAGTTAGTATACAGTGGTCTGCTTTTTGACTCTCATTTCAATAGGGATTCGCCGCTTCCAAATATTGTTTCTTTGTACTTACACAAATATAGGGATTTCCTCCAAACTTGCCTATGTCTCCCTCTTGGATGAGTAGGCAGTGCATTAATCTGACGTGGTGTATACCACACCTTTCACCTTATGGGCTTGGGAAGGGGTCACAAAGGTGTTAGCCACAAGGCAATGGCCTTCTAGCCATCTTATCAAGTCAAATGTCAAAGTTTTCCTATTTTTGGAGATGATTTTGAATCAGGAAGAACATGGTGGCATTGTGGGGGCTTTGTGGAGACCAACTGTATCTAAGCAAGGCATCTGCACCTGTATGCCGAAAGAGATACATTGCTGTAATACTATAAGGCTGTACGTAGTAATTAATACTACTACAGTATCAGTCTATAAGATGGCAATACAACAATGCTAATGATTTTTAAAACTTGCCAGTGTTGGCTGTGATCACAAATGTGATTCTTATATTTATTTTTTAACCAACATTATGGCATTAGAGTATTATGCTTTTGTTTCATTTTTTTTAAAAAATCTAACAGTGGTAGCTGTTAATTGATTAATTAATATGTAGGAAAGAGTTTCAGAGCCTGTAGCGACAGAGAAGGCCTTCTTTCATGTCCCCATCAAATGTACCTGTGAAGATGCAGGGGCCAAGTGAAAGATTTCCTCTATGATCTTAAGAATCAGGCAGGCCCATAAAGGGAGATGTGGTCCTTACGAGTGCATTACAGCCAGAATGTAACTAAGGAATGTATCCCTGTGGGCAGATCAGACCTCTTCAGGAATGGGTGCTGCTGATTCACAAATTTTAACTGTCCATATCCATTCCTGGCCACTGTCAAAACCTGGGCATCCAGGTTCAGAGATGACCCTGGAGTACCCCCAAGCAATCACATTGTGAGAGAGCTGATCCTGGATAGCTCGTTGCAATAGCTGGTGTTTTTTTCTTATTAGCATGTTAATCAGATTTGAAAATTTGTTGTTGTGTAAACATGTATTGCACAAATAGGAACACTGGAAGGGAAATATAAACCACTTCTACTGATTTTTATTTATGACAGCAACACTAATCTTCCAAAAGTTATTTTTGTGTTGATTAAATTTTTTATTCATCCATTTTATTCAGCCTGATTTACAAATCAGATTTCCTTCTCTGAAGCAGCATTTTAACAAATTACAAATCCATTTTTTGGGGCTTGTTATTCATGCCATCATGGACCTGGCTTATAATTCATGCAGTTGATTTAAAAGTCAGTGCTTTAGATCTGGAATGTAATGAATGAACTATAAATAACACAGCAGAATATTTCCAATTTCCTGTTTCTAAGTTTTGCTATCTCACAGTACAGAATACTGCAGACAACAGTAAAATGTGTAAGACTGAAGATGCTACTGTTTCTGTTCTCCAGGAGAGTACTGTTATGTAGTCATGGGGAGAAAATGTAAAGTTACTTGAAATGTTTGGAACAGCTATGATGTGTATTTGGTATATGGCAGTCAGCTTCAGAGGAGCTCAGTGAATGGCTCCTATTAAAACTTAAGAGGAATATGTACACTAAAACTAGCCCAAGACATTGTGATGCTTAACTAAAAATTCATAAACATTATGAATTC